TTTTTTTTTTTTATGGTAGTGGCTACTGTTCTGCTCTTAAGAGACACTGCAACAGGATGGTAGTGATTTGTAGTGATTATAGGTACTAGGAGGGACCTAGGATTTCACTGATAGGATTTCACAGGGTGGCTAAAGAGCCACCCTTGGCTTCTTCTCCCAACTGAATTGCAAACTACCTTCTCCCAAGGCAGAAGGCTGAAGTCCCCTGCTTTGGTTTTATGATATCTAACACTGCTGTGATTGCAACACAACTCTTCTGTTACATTTAAGATCTTTATCGAGCATGCAAGGCCACTCCTGAATTTGGATTAAGCTAATTAACTAGTAGATTAGCATGAAAATGTCCATTACATTAAACAACACTGAGTGGTGTAGATAAATCACTTCCTTTAATATGGTTATTTTTCTCTGATGAAGAGAGACATCAAATTGCAAATGCCAATGATTCTTATCTTTCACCTATTTCATCCCCAAAGTTCCCGAACAAAGAAAAAAGCTTTGCTGCTCAGATGTGCACCTATCTCTTCCCAGCCTTAAATTACATGAATCCAGTTCAAGGATCAGTGTATTTGCTAAAGTCTGTGAGTGCTTCTCCCTGCAGATAGCATTAGCTCACTCAGCTGACTGCCAAGCTCGTGTTTACTTTTATGTCTGGGGAATGTATTTATAGATTGCACAGGGATTACTGAGATCATCACAGGCAACCTTACTTTTGTTTAACTTTTCTGTCTTTGTTTCAATCTCCTAAATTTATTCAACTAGCAAACATCTTAAGAAACAATGTGTGCTCCAGTATTTTCATTGCACTTCAATTTATTTCTCAGAGCACCAGACACTTTAAATGGCAAAGGTGGAGCATGTTGCTGAAGGCCACTGATTAATGCTCTTAAGTGGCACTCTTCACTCAGATCGAGGAGGCAGCTCCAGCAATCAGATAGTTGTGGCCTCCCATTATTGACTGCCACCATTTTTTAACCTCTTGGCCTCATAAAACCAAATGCTAAAATACTTCTCATTTTAGGAATGTGATTCTACAAAGAATGTACAGCAAAACCTCCACTTTTATTTTCCCCTCAGACAATTTTTGTCTTTTTAGATCCTGCTTAATCATGCAGGGCTTATGCTAATTTCTGCTTGAAAAAAGGTCTCTAGTCAGTTATTGAATTTCATGCAAGAAACCTACATCATCTTCTGTAAGAGATGGATCTTCCTCTCGAGACTTGTAAGACACTGAACTAAGCCTCTGAAAAACAGAAAGAAAAAAGGACAGGCTCATTACAAGTCAACAGTGTGAAACCTATAATAAAACTCTCCCATTACAATCAATACATTATATTTTATGGTCATTTGCTCACTAGTTCCATTTTACATAGCTAATAACCAGAGTATGTCTTTGGAGACGAACAGCCCTGAGGTTAGCAGAGCCTTTTAATGCATCAATTCTTGTTCTGACCCCCGCAAAAATTAGTGAAAATAATGTAAAGGTTAAAACAAACTCTGCTCCATTCTCTCTCTCCATTTAGATTTCGAATTAAGTGAGAAAGAGTCTGCAAAGGCACATTACCAATTAAAAGTGAACTGTTGTGGAACGACAGTAAGCCTTTTACATAATCTTCATATATACTTCTAGATTCAAAAGGCCTAGAGTAGCACTGTCCTAATGGTTATTATCCTTTATTCAAATGCTTCCAGAAGTGCCCCAAGGAGCTTCCGCTTCTTCCACCACAAAACACAGCACCTGTTCCCACGTCCAGAGCAACACTGCCTCACACAGAAAGACCTGATGAACCCAGCCTGAAAGGAGGAGGTAAATGCTCAAAAGCATCAGCAATCCACGCATGGGGGTTAATCACAGTGCACGGGATGGAGGGTTTGCTTTAGTGTCAAATGAGCTGTAGGCGTGCAAAACGCCAGGTCATGAAACACCAGGGCACCCCCTTTTGCTGACAAGAAGACGGCGTTAGGGCCGTGAGGGCTCCAGGACGGTGGCTGCCCCACAGGGGCTGTGTGTGGTTCCTCCTGCTGGGGCAGGCACCTGTGGCTGGAGCTTCTGCCCCTCACTCCCGCGGGGGGAGCCTTCCAACACTGCTTGTTACTGCCCATATACTGCAGTTCTGCTCAAACTCTTCCCCCGAAATAATTCAGATCTCCTCCAGGGCAGACCAACCCTGAGTAGAGCTATTTTTGTCTGAATTAAACAAGTCGACCTCCAGAAATATATTACATAGAGTCTTTTTTATTCACAGAGGTTTATTAAAACAGATGCTTTCCTATATTTGCACATTTTCCTGTTGTTTTTACTTCTGTTAAATATCAATTTCTAAATGTCTGACACAGTTCAGATGGAGCTTCTGACCCTCAGCCCCCTAAGGTCTGCCCACTGGGCTCAGGAGGCTTTAGTCCGGCCTTAACTCTCTTGCTTATTTCTCAATGTATGCACAACACACTCCTTAACCTGTGCTTTGTTTGCTCATGAAAATAAAAAATAAAAATAAAAGGATTAGTTCGCCCATATTTTAGCAGAGGCTTTTATTAGATCTGCTATACTACAGCAGCTCAGTTTAGCCTTTCTTACTTGCAGGACGTTTTTATTGTTGAGGAGTAGGCTACTAGTTTCATCTTTACACATTAAAACCAATAATAATGCTAGGAAAATCAGGCAATATGTTATTTTCTTTAGTGTGTCTATAAAAGTGCCTATGTTTCTCCACTTGAGCACTGAGAAATGCCCCAGACTGCTGACGATGTGGCTCATTTCCCCTGTACGTTGCCTTCCTTCTGTTGTCTAAATGTAGAACCTGCATTGATTTTGACCCATCGATTTTGAAGGATCTCATCCTCTTGAAAACTTAAAAAAAAAAAATTTGCTCCTAAGCACTTTTTCACCTAGCAACACCATACATAAAGCTTGAAACCTCAACAACAGCAACAGCGGCAGAACATGTCCCTGTTTTCTTTCCACTTCTCTTTTGTCCAACAGCACTTGATTTCTTGCTGTTTGGCTCAGCTGCTGCTCCCGACTCAGGCAGCAGAACAAGAACCTCATTCTCCTCGGGAGCGTTTTTGAGAGACGCTCTGCCCATCCTCAGGCTGGCGAGCCTCAAATCAGATGGGCAGCAGCCAGATGTACACACAGAGACAGACAGCATCTCTCCCACATTCCTGGGACTGCTCATTCTAGGAGACCTGGGTAAAAAGAAGATTTCTACTTCCTTTTTATTTTTGATCAAGGAAGAATTAAAAAAAAAAAAAACCCTGACTCTTCAGTTTTATTAGAAGAACTATGTGCCCAGGATTTTCCAGGTGCTAGAGGCCTCTAAAAGGCACTGTGCTATTAAGGGTGCTTTTCTTCACCAAAGTTTGCCCCAAGATTTGGCTGTCTCATGTCCAGTAACAGTTCAGATATAACTATTTTTCCTGGTTTATTGTATGTCTGGCTCTTGAAGTGATCCTTTATCCCTGCATGTATCTAACTACATGTCAGTGTTATAGGAAAGATTTCTGAGTAAGTGAAGCGCTTCTTTGTTGCTTAGTAGGAGACTAGGGACTGTTCATTTTTATCAGGCTCTGCCTCTACTAGTAAATTAAACAGTGCTAAGGACTAGCTGTGATACTGGAGCACCTTTTCATGCTGTTCAACACTGGAACAGTCTCCAGCTTGGACCAGCTAACACTGTCCCTCTTGGACACGTTTCAGGGATTGACATGAGCTGGACATCATTCCCAGCTGGTGGTTGGGTGACGCCACCTGCTTTTGGGGGGTAAGAGACTGCAACAGCCTGGACACGTCTCCTTCCCAGGCACAGGAGAGGCGGTTACACCAAAACCCCACCTGCCCCACGCAGGTGGTCTTTCTCCGCCTGCAGCTTGGTGGGTCTGTGCCCTGTTAAGCAAAACTCCTCACTGTGGGCAGGTGGGCTCATGAGATGGTTACAGCAGCCTCCCTGCTCGTCACGGGTCAGCACGGCAGGTTGGGGAAGCTTAAGCAGCTTCACAAGAGATAACACAAGAAAGAAACACACAGGAATCTGCCTAACTAAAAGAGCTGTAAATTTATAATCTATTTACATAAGCAACTTGGTTGACACCAACCACTTGGTTTTTGGTTACCATATCAGAGCAAAATAGCCATTGCTGTGCACCGCTTGAAAGAGCAAAATAGAGGGAAAAAATTATCATAATCATAATAGAAAGACAATCCCCCAACTACCTCCACGTACAATTCCAGCAATAATGACATTTATATATGCAATCAATTACCATTTTCAACTCTGCTGCAGCTGTAGCTCTCAAGGACAGGACACGCACACACTTCGATGCATAATGCATGTACCTAGCAGAGTACGTGGGAACGATTTGATGCTGCCAAAGCTTTAATTCAGAGTGAGTTTAGCTTTGAATATATTTTAATTAGGCAAACACCTTTTTTTTCTGGTGCTTAGGGGACTGCATGTGTCATCTCTTGATTAATCCTTCAAAACCTGAACCATTTTAATCAACTCCTGGTCTGTGCAGTTGCTGACATTGTGTACACGGTGTGCTGGGGAGCTACAGGGTAGTAAGAGCATTTTTTTTGTATCGGTGACTGGGAAATATAATGATTTTCTAGAAGACTTTTCACACCTGGCAGGAAAAATGTCATTGTTACTGAAAGCTGTTTGCCTAAAAGACTAATTAAGAATTACATATGCCCTGAATTTGGTGATAGGAGGGGAGGGCTGGTGGATTAGCACTGAGAAACCCATGTTAATTTTCTACTAACAAGCTTATTATTTGCAAGAATGTACTCTGAAGAATCTGGATGAACAATTCTTGGATTATGAGTATTCTTCAGTTTATTCATTTGAACTCTATTATGCTTTATACGTGAAGTTATGCTAATATATTTGTGGTTATTTAACAAGGTATTTTTCAGCCCTCTGCCAGGATTAGTGAAATACTTCAAATGCAAGAATGACCAGAAACAAGTAACAATGTTATTGACAATCTGACAATGATTTTTTTACTGATCATCTGACAATGATTTTTCAGATAAATGTTTACATTAAAATGTCACATCAAATCTTAAATATTTTTGAAAATTTTCATCAATACCTAACAGTTTTGACAACTCAAACACCAGAATTACATTAATCTGCTAAAATCACAGTGCTTTCATTTACAACTAATAACCTATTATTTACACTAGTTCTGAAAAACACAAACCCAACAATTTGTTACAACTCAGTTTGATAATCTGAAAGGATCTTTCTAATTAGTTCTTTGTAAAAAATCAAAAGAGTAAAATAAACCAATTTGCTGAATATTTGATCACTCTATTTTTCAAGGAATTCATCACTAACTTGTCCCCAGTCTGAGGGAAAGAATAAGTTGCTGGCGAAAAGCAGCCTTTGGCTGTCATTTCACCAGGCAGAAATTTATTTCTCTGTTTACATGTGACATACAGAATTTGACAAGTATAAAATCTGTAGGTTAATAAACTGCTCAAATCTTTCAAGGTCTGATGCTGAAAAGGATTAATATAGGTATTCACTCACTACTCTTTCATCTGTGATCCTTTGTACTGTGGAATTGCTGAGCAGCAATTAAAGACCAAAACCAAATCTTAGGTTTTAAAATGCTACAACTCTCTGTCCACCTCTCTGTCCCTCTCTCTGTCCTAAATAGGGAAATAAGGTGAGTGGTTTAGGCACACAACACAGATCCACAGAGGAAGCATTTCTAAAGCTAGGGCTTCTACCCCACTCTCCTTCTTGTAAATTTAGATTTTATTAGGAAACAAAGCAAGTAGGAGCTTCTGAAAGAGAGGCAGATGCTCACTGAGACACCAGACTCCTCTTGTAACAGCTTCCACAAGTGTAATACCATCAAAAAAGAAGCAATGGCTTCGTATGCAATTTCTGTGTGATATTTGGGAACAGCACCCTGCAACAATCAGAAACTGAGGCTCCAGTGGAATGAATACCTGACCTGATACTTTGGAGGTTATATTGTGCATTTTCATATCTCTGTGTTTGTGTCTTGATGTTCTTTGTTTTGGGGATTTTAACAGTAAAGAATTATTAAAAACAAAACAAAACTATGCCCCTCTCCCCCAGTTATGTTCAAAATTACTTTTTCTCTCTATCAGTATATGACTGTATCATTATTCTCTCTATCATTATATGATACCCACTTGCAGTATTTACCTTCTCTGGTTTCGTTGTTCCTTCTTCCACTTTTTGTTCTTGCACATTCTCATTTTCATCAAGAAGCTTCATGGGGACTGGAGGTGGGGGCTCATCCTCCACATCCTCCACGTCGGGTGTGCTGCCCAGAGGGCTCTCTGAATTAGCACTTTGGCGACTCTTTTTGTTTCGATCAACTGACGCATACTCTGCTGATTCAATTCTGCACTCAGGGACCTGATGCTGACCTTCAGAAACCCCCAGCGAAGCTCTTGATTTGTCGTTACAGCTTCCTTCCATGTTGGCTGCTGCTCCGACGTCTTTGATTTCCTTCACAGTTTCATACAAGCAGTCTTCAACTATGTTCTCTTGAGAGGAGCTGTCTTTCAGGACTTCATAAGGCCCTTCCATTCCAAGGCCTTGATCATTTTCTGTGTTTCTAGCTGCGATGATGGTTTCCATGGTACTGTTAGGAGGAATACTGGGTAATTCCCGGCTCTGGTGACATTTAAGGGATTTTCCAAGACTGTCCTGCTGATCTAGCAGATCAGAGACAGATGTTTGTACTTCTTCATAAGGCTGGATGCAGGCAGTTGTACTGTCCTGCGAGAGAACTAAAGAAAATTATAAAGAGTTATTTAAAGCAACTGCATGACTAAAAAAAAATAAATGTAATCTGGGACATGCTACATTACTTAGTTTTTGCAACTCCCATAGGAAAGTAAAAATGATACACACACCTGGAAATGTTCTAGTAGTCACCATCCTCTCAGGTAATCAAAAAATGTCTGTTCAGTAGATTGCTGTTAAAATGTCACCCTCACAGCACCGTCAGTGCTCTGCACCCCTCGGATTACTTGGGATAGATACAGCTGGGTTCACAGCGAGCGCTGAGGATTAGTGGACAGGGGCAGGCATGCAGGTGTGCTCAGTTTTATGGAGCATGTACAGACCGCTGAGTATCCTCACACAGGGAACACTGGTGTGAAGTCTAGAACCAAGTGCATTTACAAGAAAAATCTCAATATTATTTTCTATTTTTCCAATTCCCTCTCTTCTGGAACCAGAGGAGAAGACAACCCTGCGTTCTCCCTACCCAGCCCTCACCTGGTTTAACACGCTGCCCAAATGTGAGCCTGAGGCCCAGCTAGTTCCACCCCGCAGGCCACACCAGCAGCTCCTTATCGGAAGGCTTTGCCATACTTTCCTTAGTCTCGCAGCACATAATGTAGGTTGACAACTTACTAACGAGGCAGCCATATGCACAAAAGAGAAGATTAGACTTCAGGAAGTGGTGTTAGGCAGAACATGTTACTATGCTGTTTTAAGTTACACAAGTGGGTCTCATGTCACTGTCACAAAATGGGTATGAGGGATTGACATGGGACTTCTCACCTTACAGTGAGAACATGTATGATATTTGCTTGCAGTCATGGATATACACACAGACGCATACATGCATGTGGCTGATAGTATATGGTATGTTACTTTATTTGACCACATTTCCTTGAAAAATCACTTTGGAATAGCCTTATTTTACATAGTGCGGTTCCTATGGCACTATCTCAGACTAAGAAAAATCAACCCATTCCTCTGTCTTTAGCGTGCTTGACAGTGCAACACAATGTGTTGCCAGAGCAATCAGTACTATTGATTTGGTGGTTGTTACACAGGTTTCTTTCTCTTGTGCTTTGGGCAAACACTCTTATACAGTAACATCCCCCCTAGGGAGTTGTAACCTGACAGCAAAACTCAGGATGAGACTCAAGGTGCGAGATGCTAATCACTGCCTGAATGGGAAATGTGAGGAGAAGAGAAGGAAAACGTCCTTCTCCAGTCACTTAACTCCTGCGTGTGACTGGGGAGGAACTGTTGAAACGCAAGGTGTCCCACACAGTTCTTGAGGAACATCAGGAACAGCCTGCAGAAGCTGCAACATTGTTTTTTTCCCTTCTGGCCCTTGTGCTCAAGGCACTGTGCACTACACAGAGCCCTTTGGTTGTGTAAAGTAGAAATAAATGAAAGCTGAACAGCTTTGGTTAATCAGAAGGGTTGTTATGTTAACTGAAAGCTGAGTAGTATCAGGCTAAAAACTGTCTGCTAGTCGCCAGCATGCCTTTTAGTAGCACCTCCTCACAGCTGACTGGTGACTAGTGGCAAACAGACACAGTCCCCTCCTGTGTGGCTCTACTCTCTGCGTTGATTCACTTCTGGGTTAAATACACCTAAATAGGAAACAAGTCAACGTAAGGGAGTAGGGATTAACTGCGAAAAGAAAGCTTAAAAACCCCTTTGGTCACTTGTCTCCAAGAGGTCAAGATTTCGTCGGGTAGCCTCCAGGCTCACGGGGAGATCAGGCACTGAGCTCCAAGCTAGGGAACGCAGCCCAGTGTGTCAGTGTCTAACCAGGAGGGAACAGTTGGCTCCCAGGATGAACTGCAAACATGTCTATTTTTAGGATCAGCTGAGTAAAATATTTTCCAGTGTTACTTGAGTGTGAGTCATTCCGAGTGCTCAGCAAAGGAAAGATTAAAGAAGAAAAAGGAATCCTGTTTATGTTTCCTACTTTCTAAAATACAAAAATACATTTGAGTGACCAAGAATACTGCTCAAGTTCCCCTTGAACTAAGGCCTGGGCAGAGTGTTGCACTTACTCTTTGACCTGGAGTACTTTGACGATCCTTACTATCTACTAAATCTTCTTGAATTAGTGCCTAGAATCATTTTTATATTTCCCAAACCTCAGAGAGACTAGCTTGTGTATTGAGGTGTTCATAGTGCTAATCCCAGCAACACTTACATGTTTAACAATACAAAAACTCAGGGGGATGACCTAAATGTACACATCTAAGCATGGTTTTGCTTTTAGAGGGTAGATTAAGAGACTGGGGAAAATAAAGCAGCAAGAAAAGAGATCACAACACCATACAAATTGCAATTTGTTGTAGCTGTTTTGGAAGAGCTGAAAACCACTGTTATTCTGTTTTAGCGCCTGAAAGCAACTGTGTTTTCAACCAAAAGAAAGATTTTTTGCAGAATCTAGGGACAATGGAATTAATTTAGGCAAATCCTCAGGAGTCCTAATCTCAATAACACAGTCTAGTTAGGAAACTTCTGAAGTTTCATTCCAGCTGGAAGGAGACATAGACTGATGTGACCTAAAGGCCTATAATGATGAAGAACCTGAAATGCCAAAAAGTGACCTAAACACATCTGTAAGGAAGAACGAGGCAGATCCATACCCTCAAACCCAGACTGGAGTTTGTCTAACAACTTTAGCAAAAGATTTTTTTTTTTCGAATTGGATCTATTTGTAGAATCACAAATCACAGAATCATTAAGGTTGGAAGGGACCTCTAGAGATCATCTAGTCCAACCATCTATTCCTCTACCAGCTTTATCATGAAGCTGCACAAATGTTTGTGAGTCAGAGGAATAGGACGGTGTGTAAGCAAGAAGTTGGCACTGATGTTCTAAAATTTTCATCAAGTAACAGCCTCAGGCAGCATGGGACTATGACCAACAGCTGTAAGCCAGGTAGGGTTTGCGTGAATTAAGTTCTTTATCAAAAAGGGCTTCCTTTTGGGGGGCTGTTACTGCCCTGGGATGCAGGATTTGGGCAGCTGTTCTGGGGTGAGACCTCCAGGGATGATCAGAGGAAAACACAGGTTGCTCAGGCAAAGAGATCGTCCCCTAGGAAAGCTGATGCCTAGAAACCTAAACCATGGTGGATTAGAAATGTGGCAGGCAGCTTGGGATCTATGAGCAAGGGCACGGCCCTTCTCGTTCAGCCCATCACAAGGACTACCTCGTTACTCACCCTCGCCATTGCTGAGCACCCCGTTCTGGTCGCTGCTTGGAGGAGGCTCAGTAGCAGAACTGGTGATGGAGTGGCTGAACATCTCCTTATCAGAAGGCTACAATACAAATGAGGTGGATTAAATGTTTGCAGACACGTATGGATACACCATGGATTTTACTCTGATCTCAGGAGCTCTAACTCACATGCACTACTAGTGGGAGAGAAAAATCCAGCCTATGGTACTCAAAAGATTTATGTGCCTGTGTTTAAAGATGTCAAAACAAACAAACAATAAAAGCAAGTATATCTAGAGTGATCTCCCATCCAAACTCTATAAGAAATTACCATGGCTTCTTCTAGTCAGAAAACAGCACCTGACCACTGCCCTTGCACAGCAACCTGAGTGAAAGGAAGGCAGGAGGTTCGGTGCAACAAAAGCTCAGGTCATTGGGATTTACAGAAGTTACCTGCCCTTTCCTGTGCTGAAAATTTTCTTGAAGTTTGCGTTTACCTATATTCCAACTCACAATATTTGAAAAGGCCTTGGTGCAAAACAATTACATGAAAGAAACATGCTAATAAAATAGAAATAAGATAAATACACATAAACACTTACCACATTCATCAGATTTTCATGATCTCCATTCTGATGCTTGGGCTTCTTCTCCCTTAGTGAAGACATAAAATGTTTTATTACAATTTATGGTAATAAGCAAATGTCGATCATTAACAGACTGTATGCACCTCTTGGGAGCAGAACTGCAATTCGTCTTGATATTGTAAAATGAATAATTGAAGATTATTACAGGGACCTCAGTGTAAGGCCACCGCAATGTGGTGACGCTCACATCTGAGGAGTCATGAGAAACACACACATACAAATCTTTCTCTTGTTCCTGTGGAAGGAGTAACTGAATATAACCAGACCACTATGAATCATATCCCTGCTTTTAATCACATTCGAAACGTTCAGAGATACTAGGTACAGACTACGTATAACCTGTGTTAGGTCTCTCCATGACAGGCCTGACTAATCTGACCTAGAGAAAGACACTTTGAGCTCAGTGCAGGCTACACACGGAGCCCAAACAACAACATCCCATGGGCCACCAGCTGGACCACTCTGCTGACTCCCCAAAATCACAGCCTGCTCTTGTGCAGATCCAGATGAATCCCACTTATGCTCTTCATTATTTTAACAAAAGACTGCAGCATAGATAAAACCAAACTATCTGCCCAAATTCTGCCAGATTCTGACACCACTGCGCAGCTGGAGGCTTATACGTGCCACCTTTCCCACCCTACTCCTTGTGCTTCCTCCAAAAGTAGGATACTACCCCTGCCACCTTTTGGAAATGCCTCTGAGGTGCGAGAAATGTATGTCATGAAAATCTTATTTGCTGGACTCTATACTGATGCATTTGCTCTGGATTTATTAAAAAGAAAAAAAAAGTGTTTATATTAAATGTAAACAGAGATTTCTTTTTTTCCTCAAAAATCCATCAGGATTCTGGACACATTTTCAAAACCTTGGAGAATCTCATATATAGTTGCATGCACATATTTTTGAAAGTATGTTTTAAAACTGTTCCTTATTTCACCAGTTGGGCTAAGGTCACACATTTTGAAAGGAGCTGGAAACTTGAGAACACGAAGTAAGTAGAAGTGCCTATATTGCTGGAATCGAATCCTCTCATGGAGAAGAGAATAAAGTATTTATGAGCTGAAGTCATTAATTAGTATCTTTCTCTGATTCTTAATCATTTTGGCTTGAACAGCAGGATCAATTTCCTAGTCTCCAGGAATGGGCAAAGTAAAGTTGAAATACCTAGGAATTGTTTTGCTTTTCTTTTTTAACCTGTATTTCTGCCCTATTCAGCCTGTCTAATTTTCTCAACCGATAACAGGTTATAGAAACCTCATATATAGAAACCTCATATAGCTCATTCTGCTAAACTCCCCCTTCCCTCAGAAATCAAGGTCAAATTAATATTTCAAATAATAAATTAGAAAAGCATACTTTCACTGGCTGGGTCTACCCTGACCTCTTAGGGAGGAGAGCATCTGCCAGAAGGACTGAGGACAGAAAACGGCTCTGCTTCACCCTTCCTAACTGACTTGGCCATGCACCCAACCTGGAGATGCAGGAGCACAGCTGAGGAGTATTTACTGAGAGAGACCAGAAGCCACACGCTGCTCCTGTCCTGCCAAAGCATGGGATGGTTGCAACTGCTCTCAGGACAGATAGAAGCACTGGCTTCAAAAACACTTTTTAGCTAAAACTTAAGGCTTCAGCTTAAGACAGAAAGCACCTTGCAGGTACAACAGCGTTTTTCATTTACAGGAAAAAAAAAAAAAAAGTAGGTATTATTAAATTGCTGCTTTACCACAGAAAACCATCAAGAACTGTTCAGGTTTGCACTGAAAGAAATTCTACCCAGAGCTGAATTCCCAAATACATTACCACAGGGATCACAGAATCATAGAATCATTAAGGTTGGAAGGGAGCTCTAGGGATCATCTGGTCCAATCTCCCTGCACACATGGGGTCAACCTAGAGCATGTGGCACAGGGTCGCATCCATCTCCAGAAAAGGAGACTCCACAACCTCTCTGGGCAGCCTGTTCCAGGGCTCTGTCAGCCTCAATGTGAACATTTTTTTCCTTAAGTTCCTGTGGAACTTTTGGTGCTTCAGTTTCCGGCCATTTCCTCTAGTCCTATCAGTGGCCACCACTGAAAAGAGACCATGACCGTCCTCTTCACTCCCTCCCTTGAGGTACTTATAGACACTGAT